TTTCAGGGCCTGGGGTTTTGGGTTTGGGGCTTAGGGTAGAGGTTCACATGAGCTGTAGTCTAAACTCTCTAAAGGGGGTTATATAGGATTCTACAGGAGAGTATTATAGGGGTTAGTAAGGGGGATACTCCGAGTTTAGATTCCAGCTCAAATGGCACGAATCAGTTGCCGATGAGGATGGTAACAATCCATAATTCCTGCCCATTGCTGAGGCTGCGGATCTCGCCGCACTATCTCTCCGCGGAGAAGGATGCGGGTTCGATCTTTCAGAGTTCCCCCGGCCCTGACCCCCCAGACCCAACACACAAGAACCGAGCTAAAATCCCAAACTGCTGAACCCTGAGCCCTGAATCCAAAAGCCTAACCCGTAAACTGGAAACCTTACTGGGGGTTAGAAGGGAATAAGGGAAGATGTTGTTATACAGGGTTTACATAGGGACCATTTTCCTTCATTCCCTACTACCCTAAACCCTAAGCCCTATAAACCCTAAACCCTAAACCCTAAACCTTGAACCCTAAACCCTACACCTGAGGAAGAAACCCTAAGCCCACATCTCCGAGCCTCTCGGCCTTTCAGGATGCGGCCCTGGCCGTGCGGAGTCTGGAAGTTGCGCGGGAGGCAGGCTGAAGTCTAGTAAAATCAGGGGTTTAGGGTTTAGGGGTTTAGGGTTTAGGGGTTTAGGGTTTAGGGTTTAGTATAAGGGTCCTATGGGAGTCATGTTGGGGGTTATATTGGTATAATGTATAAGAAAATGGAAGCTACTATAATGAGGTTATATAGAAGAACAAGTAGGAACACCAAGATCAAGACTAAGGCTATGAAGTTTAAGGTTTAGGATTTAGAGTAAGAACTTAATAAGGAGGAGAAGAACAGGCAGTCATACCAAGAGGTATCAGATGTCGCAATCAAAATATCGCTTCGCCAGAGCCCAGTGCTTTGTGCGTGTGCGTCGGAGGTCTCCCGGCATCCACTGCTGCAGGAGATTGGTGCGGAGGAGGCAGATGGGGAATTCAAATATTGGAGTCCCATCTGCTACAACTTAACTATACTCGGTTCCGGTCAGCTAAACCCTAAACCCTTAACCTACACACTAAAACTAAACCCTAAATCTTTTTTGTGGAAGTGTGCCCGCTAGTCTTTCGAATTGTCTCAGGCCCACCATCCTGAAACTACCACGCACGGCTGTCGGCAGGTGGACATACCAAAAACGATAGACCTGGACTATGCCAGAGAGGTTGCCGAGACCATCTACCATCCGGTGGCTGCCTTGAAGTGGATTTTCTGCTCTGCCCTATATTTCAACGCTCGCGACTGCCGAAAACAACATATCCGAGAGTGTGTACCCAGAGTGGTGAGTAGAAAAGGGAGGGAAGACGTTTTTCATGAAATAGCTCAGGCAGGCACGTGCAAGATGGGTCCCAGCAGCGACCCAATGGCGGTTGTGGACCCCACGCTGAGAGTGTGCCTTGATCAGCAACTTCTATCGTTTCTTAGCACAAGCATTGCCACCTCCACTACTTCCAAGCATGCTGAATGGATTCAGTAGAATGAGTGTTCATTGTTCAAATCATATCCTTGCGTAAGTGGTGGTCATGGTCAGTGCTGTCCGAACGGCGGAAGGCATGGCTTGGAGGGCTTGCGCGTCGTGGACTGCTCCATCATGCCTAGCCTCACCTCCGGAAATACCCATGCGGCAGCCTCAAGCTTGGGCTAGGGGAAAGCCAGGCCCTGAATTTCAAGTACCTAGACCTTCAAATTGGGAGCTCAGGTACCAACCGCCTCTTGGCTGCCTTAAGCAACAAAAAACAAGTTGCCCTTGCAGCTTGGCTTTCTGTTTCAGCAGGTCATGATCGCCGAGAAGGCCTCCCAGATGATGCGGTGACAGCCAAAGCAGCGCGCCGACCATCGGTTCTCTCCCGGCCACTTGAAGATCCAAAACAAGCTTCGGCGCTGCACACTCAAGACTCAAAGCCGTGCTTTCAAACTCCCCTAAACCCTAAACCCTAAACCTTAAACCCTAAACCCTAAACCCTAAACCCTAAAGCCCTTGGCTGTGGCCAGGAGATCCAGCAAGAGCGCCAGGCACTCCCTGTACACAGGACGGTCCGAGCGCATGAAGCACGAATAGCAGCGAGCCAGAGGAGCAAGTAAGGCTCTGATTGTCATAGGATTGCCGCAAAAAAGTTTGCAAGACACGGCATCTCGCAGGTTTTTGTCCCACAAAAATGAAGGTTTGGGGTTTAGGGTTTAGGGTTTAGGGTTAAGTTCCCTGCCCAGAGTTGCCCCTGGACTGTGAAGGCTGGAGTCAAGGCCACTGGAGCAGAGCCCAGGTTTCCCACTCAGCTCCATGTCGTTTGACATCATGTGAGCTATCGTCTAAACGCCTTAAAGGGGGGGTTCTAAAGTGGCCATATAGGGTTTAGGGTTCAGGGTTCATGTAAGCTATAGTCTAAACTTCTTAAGGGTTATATAGGGGAGAGTATTATGGGGTTTATTAAGGGGGATACTAGGACTTCAGACTGCAGCTCATGATATAGAAGGATATATATATATATATACATACACCCCCCCCATTTTCATGTAGTAGCTTCCGTTCTATTATCCATTACCCCAATATTACTCCAATATAACCCCAATATAACCCTAAGTAGTTTCCATTCTCTTTTGCATTATCCCCAAAATCATGGGCCATAGGCAGGAATGTGTAGGGCCTTCAGGGCCGGAAGCCTTTCGCTCAGAGGCACGCGGTCATCATTGAGCCGCACAAGACAGAGCATGTCGTCCGGAGATGCCGATGCCCCAGTCCCAAAGGCCTTTAGGGATTAGGGTTTAGGGTTTAGGGATGTAGGATTAGGGTGTAGGCTTTCTTGGCAGGGATTCCAAGAGGGTTGCATTAAGGAGATGTAGGGCGTGCAGCATGTAGAATGGTAGGATAGTTGGAGTGCCGAACTTCTGGGAGAACATGGGAGGCATTGGGAGGCGAAAGTGCTGTCTAGGTGGATGCGCTGCTGGCTGGGCTCAGCAATGAGGAGGATGAGGAGTCGACCGAGGAGGTGGGTTACATGAGCCATAGTCCAAAGTCCTTCAAGGGGGGTTATGCAGGGGATTCCATAGGCGAGTATGACTGGGGTTATACTAGGAGTTTAGTTCAGATTATAGATATAATCCCAATATACTATAGGAGTTTCCATTTTCTTTTCCATTATCCATGCTTCCCCATCTAATCCCTATATAACCACATACAACCCCCACATATACCCCATATAACCCCTATGTAACCCCTATAGAATTCCTATACAACCCCCATATACCGCCTGTATATATATATGTATGGTTATATAGGGGTTATGTATATATATATATATCCTGTGTCAGCCTCTTGAGCCTCTCAACCTTGCAAGACGTGCAGGAGGAAGTCAGCGGTAACTGGGTTTGACCAAAGAGTCTGTGCCCAAAGAGTCAATGCCATGGAAAAGAAAATGGACGCTGCTATAATGTATTGGGGTTATATGGGGTTATATATGAGTTATAGAAGGGATATGGGGTCATATAGGGATATTGGAAAAGAACATGGAGACTACTACATTGGGGTTATATAGGGGTTAGATAGGAGCTATAGAAGGGATATATTGGCGTTATATAGGGATAATGGAAAAGAACATGGAAACTACTATATTGGGGTTATATAGGAGTTATATAAGGGATATATTGGGGTTTTACGGGGATTATGGAAAAGAGAATGGAAACTACTATAGTATATTGGGGTTATATGAGGATAGTGGAAAAGAAAATGAAAATTATTATAATAGGTTATATAGGGGTATAGTTTACTGGATACTTGTCAATGCCATGGTCAAAAGGGCTCAGATGCGGAAATCTTCACGCCATGCGATTCGGAACAGAGTCATTGCCGTATGGGAACAGAGCGTTGGTAGGTTGCTGAGAGATAGTGACAACTGACAGATGCCGTGTGATTGAGGCAGGCGCATCGTGATAAGCGTGAACACAGCAGCCCTTGGGGACTGGATTTAGGGTTTAGGGAAATACTGGTAAGTGTGACTACATACTTGTTTCAAGGTTCGTACCTTGACTCAGAGTCATTACTGTCAAAGTTCTTCATCATGTTCTGCCTTGCTTCTTGACATGACTGTGTTTACAGCTTGTTTTACGCGATTGATGGCATGGGCAGCCCATCGCAGACCTGATGGCACGTCCGAATCAAGCCTGCTTCTGCAGCAGAGTAGCCATATGAGTTGTTGAAAATCAAGATTACCGTGGGCAATGCAAGGATTTTGGGGTATGCCTTCCTGCCAATCTAGCAAAGAGTGAAAGCAGGTGGTGAGGTAGTTTCCATTTTCTTTTCCACTATCCCAAAATTACCCCTATAAAACCATTATATAACCCATTTAAAGCCTTATAAAACCACATATAACCCCTATAAAGCCCCAATATAACCCCTTTTCAAACGCCTGTAGAACCCCTAAAAAACCCGTATGTAACCCTAAACCCTAAACCCTGAACCCTAAACCCTAAACCCTAAACCCTACAACCCTACAACCCTAAAACCCTAAACCCTAAACCCTAAAACCCTAAACCTCAGTAATGTGTTCAATCGTCAGCTCATCCCCGACGCTGATTTCAGCTTGGAGGAAGCCATGGCCATTCCGAGGCCGGAGAGTCCGGATCCGCTGCTGCAGCGAAAGGCTGGGTTGGGGTTGCTGTTTAGAGTTTAGGGTTTTACGGTTTTGGGGTTTAGGGTTTTGGGGTTTAGGGTTTAGAGTTAGGGTTTAGGGTTTTGGGGTGTAGGGTTTAGGGTTTAGGGTTCAGGGCTATATGATGCCCCCAAAATGGAGAATCAACTGGAAGAGAAAATGGACGATGAAATGGAAGCTGGGGGAATATAGGGATTTAAGGAGTTCAATTTAAGTTACTACATTGGGGAAGCCCTATTAGTTACTATAGGGTCATTTTGGTAACTTCCTCCACAGCAACCCAGAAGGACTGGAAGACTTTGAATGGTCGCTGGCAGTTTTGCATCCAGAAGAGAGATGCCAAAGATCCCACAGCCTTCGAAGGCAACATCCTGGTGCCCTTCTCCTTGCAGTCCCCTCTTTCTGGGGCCTTAGATAGCTTCTGTACTGTCCTTGGGAAGTATGTTTACTTTTTATTATACTATAACCCTAAGGAAATATTAGCAATAACATTTTTGTTATAGGTCTAAGGAGACTACAGGTTTGAGCAATAAGAGAAAGCAACAGCTGGGGCTTTCTGGGCCCCCCTGCGCCCCTGGCCTCAGCAAACGCTACGAGCTCTGGTACCAGCGTGGCTTGGAGCTTCCCCAAGCATGGAGGGCTCAAGTTGCCCAAGGGAAGTGTGTGGTGCTTCATATTGGCGCCTGCGACTACACTTGCCAGGCGAGCATCTTCCAAAAATCAGGGTCTCTTTGCTGAGGATTTCGGGCAGGAAAGGCGGTTTCCCACAGATTTCGCGTGCTCGTTCGAGACACACCCAGGTGTTCGTGAACGGCACGGCTGTTGGGAAGCCGCATGTGGGCGGGAGCACCGCCTTCGAATACGACATAACTGGGGCCTTGTCGAGTAACCCTGTGGATGTGTTGTTGATCAAGTGCAGCGATCACGAGGAGACTCGGTTGTTTTTGTACAGATTTCCGGCCGACGCAGTTTGTTGCCCCGCATGCTGTAACAGCTTTTTGGACCATAAACCCTAAACCCTATATAATCCTATGCAGCCCTACGTAATCCATTATATAACTCCCTTAAAGAAGCAACTAGACCCTAAACCTTAAACCCTATATAACCTGCAAAGCCCCATGCAATCCCCTAGAAAATCCCCTTTTGAAGATTAATTAGACCCTCAACCCCTTCAAACTTATTGATCCTTATGAATATTCTCAAGGAGAAGGGAGCCAATGCCATGGAGCTCAGGGGGAAGCAGCTGGTGTCAAAGGCTTACAGAGGCCCAGGCCCCCACGTACCCACCTTGCCGGCTCCTCAGTTGTCCCTGTTCCTGGCTCTTCTTAAAGAGGGGACCCTGTCCTAAGCCAAGCTACTTACCCTAATCCCTAAACCCTGAACCCTAATCCCTAAACCCTAAACCTTAAACCCTAATCCCTAAACCCTAATCCCTAAACCCTAAACCCTATCTGCTTCTTCGTATCTTGGCATCCCAACCTTCAGGTACTCCAACGTCACTGGCTTTTGGCAGTCTGTTTGGATTGAGCTGGTGGGGCCCCGGCGATTGCGCAGAGTGCACTGTGTACCTCGCTGCCTTGGCCGGGTCAGCGAAGCAGCCGCGTGTCCTTCAAAGAAGTCTCCGCGGGCGTAGGGTTTAGGTGGCTTATGTGTCGCAATGGCGTTCTAGGGTTTCCTTTGATGCTTTAGTCTAAATGCACCATACTTCGCACTCTCTTGAGTTGTGTTGTGTAAAAGTGCCAGCTTCTGTGGTTCGTCTCACGCAACTAGTAGCCAATCGACGTGGGGGGTGCAAAAGCGTAGAACCTGCGCCCTTATCCATTCTTTTGGTCGTGTAAAGGTAGGTGCAATTTGACAATTTATTCCAACAATGTATTTGGCTCAAGCTCCCCCTTTTAGCTAAGAAGGCAGTGTGGATGCATTATAGCGAAGCCATTTACGTTGAATGGCTTGTGGAGTATTGAGCTTTGACGCCGCGAGGAAAGAAAATATTGGTGTGCAACTGGTGATTTGCAGTGGTGAATATCACATTATATTGCTGCCCAGTCACCCTCTTACACTGGCCACGCTCAAGTCACTTAAGCAGCGCAAGAGAAGCGTAACGACGGTGCACCGAAGGTTTTTCGCACTGGCACTGCCGACCCCCTAGCCTTCCCCTTCCCCAACACATCACAAATAGCCCCAAGTGCGGGACAAGGAGTTGGTGCAGCGCTGGTGCCGTCCCTTGGTACCAGATTCGCTTCACGTGCTGGCCGCGAACTTGGGATTTTCGGCACCGTAAGCATGACTCAAGCTGGCTTTTCCCGAAACCCTAAACCTTAAACCCGAAACCCTAAACCCTAAACCTTAGCCGTGTGCCAGAGCAGCTGGATCAAATTATAGAAGAGGGGGTCATGGCCTGTCACAGCCTCAGGAGAGGGCGGGTTGTCGAGTTTTCCCTCTAATATATTATCATATACTATAGTATACTGTGATCTACTATAGTATACTGAATCATTGAGATTTAGGGCTTAGATGTGCTGTCAGACCTGCCTCCGCCACTTGCTGCTCGACCAGCCGGAAACCCAGCTTCCGGGCCGCGTTTGGCTTGAAACATGATGCCATCTAAGCAACAGCTGCGCTTCCAGCAATCGCCTATGGCGCACTGCATCCCGAGGCAGGACATTTAGGAATTCAAGGGAACTGGACAGGTCAGTCATGGGAGGGAGCGACATGGAGCGACGTGAAACGACTGTATAGTTTTGCCTTGCACCAGTGCCCAGCTTGGAGAAGCAAATCAATATAGATCTGGATTTGGGGCATCCTTTGATTCCTTGTCTCTCGTGCTACGTGTGGGCTGCAGAGTACTTTGGACACCTTATTCTTTCTCGAATTTCTAAGGTGGCTCCTCTCCCGGATGCCCAGAGTGTGCATGCAACCTCAGGGGTCTGGAGCTCAACTGCCTCAGGGAGGGATAGTGGTAGGTGGGCACGGCAGCAGACAAACGCTTTTTCGTGAGATTCTAAGCGGCCCTTTTTTGCCAATTGAAAGGTGACTGCCATCCGATGCCTGGCTCCGAGTTCCCATGCAACCTCAGGGGTCTGGAGCTCAACTGCCTCAGGGAAGGATAGTGGTAGGTGGACAGGGCAGCGGGCAAGCAATTTTGATTCAGACGCACAGTGGCAGCTGCTCATTTATCGAACTTCTAAGGAGACTGCTACGCATTTGGCTATGTCTGGGAGTGCCCATGCTACTCAAGGAGTCTGGAGCTCAACTGCTTAAGGGAGGGGTGGTGGTAGGTGGGCACGGCAGCAGACAAACGCTTTTCGTAAGATTCTAAGCGGCCCCTTTTTTTCAAATTGAAAGGTGACTGCCATCCGATGCCTGGCTCCGAGTTCCCATGCAACCTCAAGGGTCTGGAGCTCAACTGCCTCAGGGAGTGCAGCAGGATTGCCTTCCCAGGCTGAATTTCACCGCCGTAGCGGCAGGTCAACCAGTTCAACTTCGCGGTCAAAGAGCGTGGAGGGCTCAGTTTCGTCTGTTGCGCTTGCGTGCTCTAAATTGGATTTCTCGAGGCTCGTGCTGGTGCGTGAACGTGAGCACTTGGGACCTCAGGCTTGTTGCTGAAAGACGTTGTATAGGCAATCAACATGTAAAGTAGCATGTACAGCACCATAGCAGTAATGCATCATGTTTTAGAAGTTATAGTTTGTGTCTCCGTGATCTTCTTTTGCATGTGTCTTCTTGCGTGAGGTAAAAAGGCTTCCTTCTTGTGCGTCCTGCCATAGTACCTGCACCAGGAAAAAGTAGTATTTTCACTATACATCTAAGGAGACTACAGCCCGGTGTTAACCCTACGATCGGAAGCGATTGCCTGGGTCTAAAGCTTTAGGGTCTAGGGGTTTAGGGCTTCAGGGTCTAGGGCTTTAGGCTTTCGGGTTATAGGGCTTTAGGGTTTAGGGCTTTCGGGTCTAGGGGCGAGGGTTTTAGGGTGTAGGGCTTTAGGGGATTAGGGTTTAGGGCACCTTTCTTAGACTAGAAGCCTCCAAAGCGCAGCTTTCGTGTCTTCTTGCGCTCCAATCTAAAGATAGAAATTACCGCAAATGCTTGCAGTGTAGGGCTTAGACACGAATTTCATCAATTTTGTTGAATTCACAGGTTAATACAATATATGCAAAATATTCCCTTATTCCCAACCAAGAGCCCATAAGTTGAAGTGCTTCTGAGGAAATCCCAAGCTGAATAGTACTGTTGATGGAGGAAATCTTGCGCCGCTTTAACTCCCTAACGTCCTAGGAGTTACAGTAGTCTAGGGCACGTAGGTGGTGCAAGATTTCATCCATCAACGGTATGCTTTATTGGGGGATGCCATGGTACCCAATGCAGAGTAAGATCTTATATCCTCTTTTTGGTATCGTATTTTATATATACAGAAAATACCCTAACCCCCAAACCCCAAACCGCAAACCGTGAAGCCAAAACCCTGAGCCCTAATCTTACTTGGTTCAACCACCCCCCAAAAAAACGCGACGCAGCTGAGGCTGCAGATTGGGCGCTGGAGATCCATCCACAGCTGCCTGAAGGCTGTCCAACGGATGCTGGGTTGCTGTACCTTTAAAGGGGGACATAGGGGATGTAGGGGTTCTACATAGGGGTATATAGGGATATATATATAGGGATATATATAGGGATATGTAGGGTTATGTAGGGGTTTTGTAGGGATATAGCGGGATATATAGGGATTTTTCGGGTTTAGGGTGTAGGGTTTAGGGAGGGGATATAAGGGTTCTACTACAGGGATATGTAGGGATATATATATATAGGGTTTCCAAATTAGGGGTCGAAGAATCAGAGGTTCGGTAACCAAAACTTACGGGTTCTTAGTAAGGAATAACGGAATACGGTACATAGGGCTTATATGGGAAGCATAGTCCTTTATGCCCTAGTAAGAACTAGTGCGAGGAGAAATGCCTGTTACCTTGTGTCACCTCATATTTCGATCCTGCAGTCAAAGCTCTGAGTCCTGTGCCTGACATCGCGTACGACCCCAAAGTATTGGAATCCTTATGATAGGGTTTCCCAAAACGGGTACCCCTAATTTTGGGAAACCCTAAGCCCTACATACTTCAAACCCTATGTATCTCCCGATGTATCCCTGTAGAACCCCTATATCTTCCAAAAGAGGAGTACCCTATTGGGAGATTTGTATCCCTCGGCAGCAGCTCAAGAAGGGTGTGGAAACCCTAAGCCCAAACCCTAATCCCTAATCCCTAAACCCTAAACCCTAAGCCCTCATCCCCAAACCCTGAACCCATGGCTCTACAACACGCTGTTCGCACTGTCTTGGTGTGGCTCTATAGGATGACCTGTAGAGCTGCTTTTCAGTGCGGCACACCGCGTATAACTGCTGTAGGTCTGGTGGTGCCGACAGTTTGCTGCTGGATTGAAGGTTCTGATATCGCACTTCTTGAAGGCCATGTTCTTCGAACATCTTTATGGGACAAGTTGTGCCATTGAGAAAAGGTCCGAGAAAAAACACCTTAGCCCTAAGCCCTAATCCCTAAATAGCCACAGCAACCCAGGAGGGGCTGGAGCTGCAGGCAGCTCTCTTCCTAGACATCGAGCGTGGCTGGGTTGGGCTTTGCTCAGTCGGGTTTGCTCAGTGCAGGGCATGCAGGATGAAGGTATGAAGGTATAATACATAACATATACTAGAATACATAGCATGAGATATAGCATTACATTGCTATATTATAGTATTATGGATTGTCTTCTAGGGTGCGATAAATATGTTAGAATAGGCGTAGATGGGTCATTTTTATTGTAGTACATGCTGATCATCACCGTAGGCATGCTTTGTTCGCAGCCATTCATCGCGACTAGAGATGCTTCATGTGATCCTTCGAAAGCCCCTCCTACCAGTTTATTGCCCAAACCCTAAACCTGAAACCCTAAATCTTAAACCCTAAAACCTAAACCCAAAAGCCCCTAAAAGCCTAAACCTTAATCCCTAAACCCTAATCCCTAAACCCTAAACCATTTCTCCTTAAAAAAACCCTAAAGCCCCTAAACCCTGATCCCATGCACACCCAAGGTAAGGTTCCGTTGGTGCGAGCTTCTGCGAAACTGGGTGCCCTGGGGGCCCGCGGCCTCCGGTTGAAAGTGCCGAGGCAAGGTACTCCCCGAAGCTTTCCTTTAGGGTTTAGGGTTTTAAGGGTTTAGGGGTCTAAGGGTTTAGGGGTCTAAGGGTGTAGGGTTTAGGGGTTTAGGGGTTTTAGGGTTTAGGGTCTTACCTTTGGTTCGCTGGGAATGAAAGAATGGAAAAGTAAATGGAAACCATAACGGGGTTGTATAGGTTTAGGGCTTAGAAGGCATGGAACAGAACATGGAAACTACTATTATGTGTCATGTAGGGACTACTATATGGATCCATTCCTTCATTCCTAGCTAACCAAAGGTAAGTTTCTGAAGAAGCCAGTGATAGACTTGTGCAACCTCATGCAGAGTTGCCTTCTTCCAAGTCCAGTGGGCAGCTTGTTGCAAGACTGTCATACCTCGCATATCCCTAAACCCTAAACCCTAAACCCATGCCTCACATATGCTTGCCCGCGCAAGAACCGGAAAAAGGGCAGCCCCTGGGCCCAGGAAGTGGGT